CAAATCCATCAAAAGAAGAGAAATTTATCCTATATTTTTTTCAAGATTAATGGTGTTTAGCACCACTAGTGTTGAAACACTAATCTATGTGACATTAAAATTTCAAGAGCTCTATTGAAATTTCTTGTAATTTGAGACCCTTTTATCACAAATATTACCTTTGTCGAATATATCTCTAGCAATGTATTTCTCCAACCTTTGTACAAAAGAGTGATAGGCCTCGAAAAATAGATCACGCTATTAGGCTCGCAATATGTCAGATGCTTCCCATGAAACTGACATTCATTTTCCTCATCCCTGATATGACCTCCAATTTCTGATGAAATCGGATTTCCTTTAGAGCATCTATCTGTATTAAGGTTGATTTTATATATGGGAGTAAAAAGTCAGTTGATTAGTTTGCTTTCATTGGAGATTGAAGACATATACCGTCGATTGATAAAACATGATGAATGCACCAACCAACTTCGAAATATTTTTGCATGATTGTGAGGATTGAGGAGATTGTCTTTCAAAACTTTATATTGTTTTTTCTCACTTAATCCACATAATGCAAGGATTTGTGAAATTGAAAACCGGTCAATCTATGAGATTCCCTCGATAGCTATCATTTTGATGATATCTCCAAATACATCTAACATCCTCAATATCACTTCTAGTAATAAAACTTTCATTTTTATTAATCCCCCTATGATATCAACAGAATGTGAACTTAGTGATAGGTATGCTTTTACCTCATCAATTATTTTACACAGTAAACTATTATTTGTCTAAACTTGAAAAATATTATTGTACACATATGTTATCTCAGCAGCCGAATAAGGATTTGCCATAAATCTACAAATCCTACAAGAGAGGAGTTTTTTTTTTTTCCCTCCAATTCCAATAATTCATGTTACATAAAGAAATAATTGTCAACCTCAATGTCACTCAATCATAAAAAACCATTGCATGCCACGTGTCATAGAACGGATATCTATGCCTCGGTTTAAGACATGTTTGAAAAAAAGAATATACAGTCCCACTACAGGTACCCGTTCCAATACACTTTGGGTTACCTGCTGACGTGGCAACCCGGTCCGAAAATGTGACCCGGCCCAAATCTGAAAAATCCCCAAATTCAAACACCATTTCTCATTTCATAATTCACTCCCCCAAAATCAAAGGA